ATAATGTATGTATGTATAGTATATATAATGTATGTATGTATAGTATAGTATATATAATGTATGTATGTATAGTATAGTATATATAATGTATGTATGTATGTATAGTATATATAATGTATGTATGTATGTATAGTATATATAATGTATGTATGTATGTATAGTATATATGTGTGTGTATATATATGAATGAACAATCAATGTATACTCGGAGCCAAACGACGCATTATAAGCCCAACCTGGTAAGATGAAGAATGTATTCACATGCTGTCTGTCTGTGTAGGATGCATTCAGCTTGCTGGCGTACTCGGACCCGTGGAACTGCCCCGTTGGCCAGCAGTTAGACCCCACCCAGAGAGAAACCCTCTGCTCTGCACTCAACAGCGCCATATTGGGTAAAGAGTAAACACGGACACACACTGTGTGTGTGTGTGTGTGTGTGTGTGTGTGTGTGTGTGTGTGTGTGTGTGTGTGTCGCACTGACGCACACAACTGCAGTTTTTGTTTTAACTGTAACGCCGTGTGAGTCTCTCACACCCAGTGCACACACATTGTGGCTCACGTGTTGCACCCTTGACGGACTGTGTTTTTTTTTTTTTTCCCGCTCCAGAGTCCCAAAATCTGCCCAAGCAGCCTCCGCTGATGTTGGCGCTGGGCCAGGCCACGGAGTGTGTTCAGCTCATGGCCCGGGTCCGGTCCGGTTCCTGCTCCTTCGCCAGAGTAGACAACTTTTTGCACTAGCCCAGGTCCAGGTGAGTAAAGTTTATGCAATGCAAGGTATTAATACTTGTGTCCGACTCCAATCTTTTTTATCTCACAGTTGAATCAGTGTATAAATTATGAATTCCATCGTGTTTCAGACGAGATCTTTCTCTCACGTTGTGCTCATTCGGACTACGCGTCCTGCCCCCCCGCCCCCGCTGTAGAGATTCAGAAATGTGGACAAAAAATAACACATTTCATGACGAGTGGTGCAAGCCTCCTATGAGTTCGGCAGTTCAATTTTAAATAAATCCTTTCCGTACAACTGAAAGTAAACTAAGAAATTAGCGCCCTGGATTAGCTATTATCTATTTTAACTTTCCAGCAAACCAAGCTAGCTGTTCATCTGCAGTAATAACCAACACTTATTACTTATTGCTGCGTATGATTTTACATAAACGGTAGAATAACAGACATCTGATTGCTTTGTAGGTGTATTTGCTGTTGCTAGAGAGGTGACCCACAGGTTTTCCTCCCAGTTTTTGCCATGTCTCTAGCATGTGTTCACAGCAACACACACAGCCTTAGCCACAAGGAAACAAACCGGTGGGCAGATGGCTTGGTTAGCCAAGAAGTGGCTCCATGTGTTTAGCTTGAAAAGCTAACTACTGTGTCTACTTTCGGTCAGACTTGGAGACAAACATTTGAAAAGATTTACGCAAAAGCTGCGTTTATTTCCAAAGCTTTGGGAGGCTTACAGTGCTTTCTCTGATACACATTACCTTCATTAGGTTCACGTTACCTGAATCTCTACAGCAGAGGTTTAACAACAGTGGACACAATCATGAGAGTACGATCCGGGTTGAAATACACCAGAGTGTCCTGTTGTTGTTTTTAAAGGACATAGGACATGTGACATTTGGCATCCCATATTGACACGCAGGATGAAATGAAAAATATTTCGTTGACATATTTATACACTGGTCATACAGTAAATGAAGTATAAGGAACTACAATTACTTATTATTGAAAATACCAAAACACCACATCTGTGCTGTGCAGGAATACGAAAGCGTGCTGTTTTAATCATGCTACATTCATTCGTTACCTTGCTTAGATGCTTACCCGTCTCTCCACAGGTTAATGTTAAGTAGCACTGAGAGAAGGCATGTCCAGCAGGTAGTTGTCATGGCGACGGAGGAAAGAGCATGCGTGTGATTGGTGTGTTTGGCTGTCCGTCAGACCGAGCCAGCGGCACAGGCAGAGGAGCAGAGGAGAGCGGCAGAGAAGAAAGCTTCCTTTTTAATTTAGTATTATCAAATAAAGACATGTGTGACACTATTTAAAGATGATTAATTATGATTCTGTTTATCTAGCCATTTTTATAGTTCTTTTCTTTTTTTTTTGTCAGTTTGTTGTGCTCATCCTGGACAAAACAAATTGTGAATCCCCTTTTTATTTTTTCTTCTGTTTTTATTGGGTGGATTTTGATTCCCTGCGATCAGTATTTTACTCACGTTGTTGTTGTTGTTGTTGTTCACCATATCACAGACCACAATACCCGCATCGGGCTACCACGGTGACCCCCACCGCTGTAGGTCAACTCTACGAACCCTGAGGCATATTCACATCGTCTTTGATAAGATGCAGAAGACAGAAAGACTCCTTTATCCTCCTATAATACTTGGAAGTGCATTCATGTCTTGAAATAAATTCAACCGGGGCGAGCAAACAAGTGCTCAGCATGGAGAACAAAAAGCGCCATTTAACGTGTGGAGCAGATCAGTAGCTCCAGTCAAGGCTGATTCCGTACAGCAGTGAACACTGCTGCTGATAGAAAATAGAAAATGGACATATGTGAGACAAAACTGGGTCCCTAAATTATTCCAGAAAATTGGAATTTAAAATGCATCTTTCAGTGTCACAGCATTGGAACGTTAAAGCAGTAAAATGCTCTGTGCTAACAGGTTAGACACAAGGCCTCTGTAGTGGAGAACACTGCCATTAACCAGGGGGATAGGGTGATGACAAGTGATTGAAGGAACAGTTCACCCGAAAATAAAAAGATAGTTATTTTTCGTCTTCCCTCTCTAGTGCTATTTATCAATCTAGATTGTTTTGGTTTGAGTTGCTGAGTGTTGGAGAGGACGACGCCATTAATGTTTACGTCTCGACCACGAGCCTCTCCTCCACAACGTTGGCCGGTGTAGTTCGGTTAAAAGTAAATAATTCCTACGTCAAACTGCTCACAACAAGGTCTGTGCATTATCTTAAGTAACTGGGTCAGGATTTCTGGAAAGACATGATGCTTTTCAGTTTTTTCGAATGCATTTTCTCCCCTGCTTTGAGCACCTCAAGCCCGGTGCCATGTAGACCCATTATATTGGAGAGAGGGCAGACATCTTCAACACTCTGCAACTCACACACCAAAACAACCTAGACTGATAAATAGCACTACAGGTAACATGAAATACAAGGTGTATTTCTGATTTAGGGGTGAACTGTCTCTTTTAAATTGGAAAATAAGAAGTGCTGGAACCTTAGTTCTACTGTAACGACCCCAACATAGACCAATCAGTGACGTCATTGCAGGTGGCAGCGCTCAGCACCAGCTGTTATCACGGTTTACCAGCGTAAAGAAAATCTGTATCAAAGGCGGACTAACGAGCACAGTGTGTGTGGACGGCTAGAAGTTAAGTCACCTCTGAGGATTTCATTATTGCAGTCTGTTTCTTGTTGCCCACAGCCTGACCTGCTCAGTGCATTTGCTGTCGCAATTAAAATTTCAAACAAACCGATGAAATCATTTGCAGAACGAGAATGTTTTTTTTTTTTTAAATTTTATGGTGATAATTGTGAATGTGATAATTAAGTCACAGTCTTTCATTTTTGGCGTTTGATGCCAAACCACATTTTAAAGGTTGTTAAAACCACTTGTGTGTGTTGGAAGAAGGTGTTGTCCCTCCCACACACACACACTCAGACCCCTCCTATTCTCTAACAGCCATAAACTTCATTAGGTTATTTAGTTCATAATATCTTGTTTTATTTATTTCATATTTGAGTTTAATATTGAATTATTGATTTTGACATTCTATCATCGTGATCAGCTTTCTGTCTCTGTATCTAATCAGATGATTGTTCTTTGCAAAATAAAAAAATCAGACTCGACACCCTTCTATTTCCAATCCAATAATTGGATGTTGATTACAACAACTTGTTTTGTTCCATCCCTTAGTTTTATGTGAAACATTGTAACTCTTTTGTTTTTACACCAGATTTATTTTCTACCAAATAGCACTGACTTACTGTTGTCTGAATAGTGGCAAGCTGTCACTTTCGGGTGCTTTGTTATGACCTGGCAAATGTCTAAAGGATCCACCCTGAAGTGTATATTTCCATTTATAAGTCTGATGTAGAGAAATATGGAATAATATGTGGGGTTTACTACAGGGTATGTTCACACTTTTTACCAAGCTGGTTTTTATAAAGACCTTCTGCTATAATAGGAACTATTCTATAATAACCACACATACAGCACACACTCAACATCTGCTTCTACAGCTGTAAAGGACTTCTGTTACACACACACACACACACACACACACACACACACACACACACACACA